AAAAATTTGGTTCTGGGCTACTTCTGCGCGCCTGCTGATAAAAAGTCAGAAGTGGCTCATCTACTCGGTTCCGTTTTAGACTTTAGCGATGAGGAATTCACAAAAATACAGTCAGAATTTCCGGGTACTTCTGGCTGGCTACAGTACTTCATCGGTAACAAGAATCCTTCTTCGTCGTCTGAAAACTCCATTGTTGCTGAATTCGTTCGCTTCCTGGAAACCGAAAGCAGGCCTAAACTGGTAAACCGCCCCTTCATTCCTTCGGGTGTCGATAGTAGCAGATTAAGCCGCAGCTCAACCCCCATCAGTGGTTTTCAGTATCCACTTCCTGAAGCGCATCTGGACGAGAGTCACACGAGTGCCGTCTCGCCGTTCCAATCTACTGCCCGTGTGGAACGAAAGGACTCTACCTCGGATTTTCTTAGAGAGGTTTTGGGAGAATACCCTAAGACCGAAAAATGATCCGCGCAGCTGTGATTGTTTTTGCAATGTTGCCTTGATTATTTAAGTGGTTTCGTTTTATTCTGATATGTTTTCTGTTTGTTCGATAAGTTGCGCTTCAAGTATGTTTTCACCAGTTATAGATTAAAGGTTCCAGTTTCAGAGTCCTTGAATTATGGACCCTCTTTTCGCAGTGCTAGGAACGTATGTACCCTCAAACGGAAGTTATCTGAGCAGCTGCTAAGGGCTGCTGTTCAAATTTAATATTGTATTTATCTGTTAACATTTTAATAGCAAATAATCTATTCTTCTTTGATATAATCTGTTTCTGTTAATATTTGTTCTAATTATTTCAAATTTTCGACTTGATCTTTGTTAAAGAAGCAGTTGTGAGTATCAATTTTCATCAGAAATTCAAACTGTCAACGCCAGTAAATTCAGAGGCGTCGAATTTTTATATATTTTAAGTCGAAGTGTTTGCCATATGGACTACCTTTTCAGCGTAGCCGGTGTAATAGACACTGTCGTTATTCGCGACATCGACTTTCAGTTGTATTATCTTCTTTATACTGGTAGCTATTGAGTTGGAGTACTACGTATACAACGTCTTCCTTACTACTTATATTAGAAATAAAAGACAAATGTCGCTACTAATACTATTTTGTGAGGGTGTAACCTATATTAGTGCTTTCAGTGCTGTTTATATATGCCAATATGTGAATGTCTAAAAAATGCATTTATCAAATTGATCTTTGAAACAAGTGCACGGATGCCCCGTCATGAGTAAAAAAATAATTTCGGGTAAATGACAGACTTTTAGTAGAAAAGCTTTTAAAAAAGTGAGAGTTTGCTACATAGATTGAAGGCTTAGGTAGATTAAGAGCAGGTCGTTAGACGTTAAGGGAATACATGTGATCTTTAAAATAAGTTTTACGTATTTCGTAATTCAAAAAAATGCTTAGCAGTAATGAGAGTTGTGCTCGTTCATTATCTGAGGTGTACAACTTCACACCTATGCAGCAGAGCTAGACTCGAACCGGTCAGCTGACACCAAGGTGTGTCTCAAATGATGACGGTTCAAGAAAGGGGCAGATGCCCTAAGGCAAACTGTTATAGAGCCAACCATTTACTCGAATTTCACATGTTAGCGGAAACAGCAGACAACGAGGCGAACAATTAATTTGGATGAATGGGGTAAAGACAGATCTTTTGTCCAATAGGAATATTACAGTATGTCAAATAGCAAACATTG